AAAATTATTATTCCCTACCCACAACATTATCTCCCACGTGTAAACATTTCATATCCCATGCACCATCGTCTCCATCCCCACTACTCCGAGCTTGGTCACCGTTGTTCACTTCCCCGAGGAGCGCCGCTGCCCCAACAAGCACTGCCACCCCCGGCCTATCCCCAACCTCATCCCCTTCACCCTGATGAGAATCACCACCCTGAGGAGCGCGGCCCCTTGCCCATTCCCCATCCATATCCCCTCTGACACGACGAGCATCGTTGTCGCGAGGAGCTGAGGAGCAACAACCCTTTCCTCTTCTTCAACCGACAATGAGCCGCCCCAACCTATTTAAACAATAATATTATTTAGTTATTTTATACTTTCCAAAATACTAATGAGAATGTTTACCTTGTTTGTTTTAACAAAACACCTGACATGCATATTCATGAATAATACTTATCTGTTATTCAATTTGCAATACTTTAGTTTACTATCAAGAAACAACAAGGGGATATGATACTATTTATCTAAGGTATCTTGTAAATATTTGTTTGTGAATCATATACAATCTGTCGCACATTTATTTTTAATGAAGGTGATGGTTTGTGAATTATATGTAATAATACTATGACCTTTTTGTATTGTCATTGCTCATGTTGATCTATATTGTCTGTGCTAAATTACATGTGTTTCATCTTGGGCGTACAACTGTACATCATGTACGTAGGAACCTTTAGCTCCATTTGAGGCACCTGGATTTTTTGCTGGACCTATGAGGTTCGGGACAACTTTGGAGCAGGTGTAGTTCTTGTTTTCGACCATAGTAAGGAATCTTATTTTCTACTCAATTTATGTTGGGCTTATTTTAGGCAGGAGTCAGATCATGCAGGCGCCTGAAATAGAGTTTAGGAAGTCGTCAATTCAGCAACTAGTGGCTAGGAGAGAATCAGCAACTGGAGGCTAGGATCATACTTGTAAACTCTTTACAATCATCAGTAACCAGGGAATAAAGCAAGCAATTACAGCCAGTCCAATTCTCACCTCCGTTCTCTATTATCTCACCTCCCTGCTATTCGTCTCTATTATCCCATCTCCCTGCTGTTTCGTCCTTCACAACCAGCCATCACGGGCAGGAAGCCGGCATCTGAACGGCCACTGACCTCCCACACCTATCCCATCCGGTCACTACCCCAGGGTCGTGACAACTTGGTATCCGGAGCCCCCAGCGATCCTATCATGGGTTCAGGCGACACCGACATGATCAAGCAACTTCTGGCGGCTCAGGAGGATACCCTGCACAAGGAAGCCTAGGAAGGATTCAAGACGGCCACCTCCGGCATCAGCGAGCTTACCTCATCATCAAGGGGTTCCAGACGGGCCTGACTGATGTCACGGGTAAAGTCTCGGACATCCTGGAGCGTCTGGCCAAGCTGGAGGGGCAGTTCGGTGCCACTAGTGCCGCGTCGTCGTAGTCGACGGCTCCGGCCGCCGGCTCCGTCGTCCCGTCACCACCACCAACTTCACCGATGGCGCCTCTGCTAGGCGGCAAGGGCATCCTCAGCAACGGCGTTCCACCGATTCCCACCACGCCCCGCTGGAGACACGCTTCGTCCGCGCAGGAAGATTGAGGGCTTTGTTCCCCGCTACTTCAAGATGGACTTTCCCAAATACGATGGGAATGATCCCCTGCCTGGCTCGATCGATGCAAGCAGTTCTTCACCCCACAGCAAACAGAGGAACACCACAAGGTATGGCTGGCCCGTTTCCATCTTAATGGCGACGCGTACCATTGGTACGCCCATTTGGTGCGCGGCCGCAGCACACCGTCGTGGCCTGCTTTTCGTGATCTCTGCAGTGTGCGCTTCGGCCCCCCAATCCGAAGCAACGCCCTAGGCGAACTACGTCATCCCCCCGCGACGCCGACCCACAGGGGCGCATGACCCGCTAGGAGGCCACTGGGGAGTCCGTTGCTGCGTTCAAACAACATTTTCCTGCATTTGAGCACAAGGAGGAGCTCTTTCCAAAGTACGGGACATATGTTATGGTTGGGAATAATTAGCGCCGTCAAAGGGGCTTATTTTAGGCAGGAGTCAGATTATGCATGCGTCTGAAATAGAGTTTAGGAAGTCTTTAATTTAGCAACTAGTGGCTAGGAGAGAATTAGCAACTAGAGGCTAGGATCATGCTTGTAAATTAACTCTTTATAATCATCGGTAACCAAGGAATAAAGCAAGCAATTACAGCCAGTCCAAATCTCACTGGCCTCCGTTCTCTATTATCTGACCTCCCTGCTATTCATCTCTATTATCTCATCTCCATGTTGTTCGTCCTTCACAACCAGCCACCATGGGCAATAAGCTGTCTGCCGAACGCCAGAGACCTCCCACACCTATCCCATCCGGTCACTACCCAGGGTCCTGACATATCCTAACATCCTTTTGAAATTTACCATAGAAAATTGAGCTATCAGATGGCTCCAAGATGCACTATGGTTTCTTAGAGTCCGTCAAATTAATAATGTGACAGTTTCCATAATGGAGAGTTATATCGTAGTCATGTAGATTTCATTGGCACTAGAGGGGCTAGACCTAAAGACGTTGTACAAGTTTTCCTAATGGGAAGGAGCGCACCCTATGCCAGAACCGCAGAAAAAATGCTATGAAATGAAAGCATGTATGATGGTGCTTGCGTGGCTATTAGATACTATATGCCTGACTTCTCATCCATTTGACTCAAGCTTTACATGACAGCAATCAAGACATGATAGCCTTAGTGAATGGATTGCTCAGCACAACCAAAATGATATGATATAGTCAAAGTCGAGCTCATATAATATATATGTATATTATGTTTCTATTTATGATTCTCATATTCTTTTTCGTTGACACCACTTACAGGTTCCATATTATGATTCGACGTATGCTGCGAGTAGTTTTCATGCCATTCTAAGGGTACTAATAGTATTATCGAATCTTGAGCATGGTCAGTTGTGATTCCTTAGACAATTTGTATTGTTTTGTGGAACATGCCGGAAATAACTTTGAGACTTGGCTCTTAGCATTTTTTCGCTCCCTTTTGAAGATTTCGCTGAAACCAGTTTTGCTGCTAAAAACTGTTGCTTGAGAGTTTAAATTTTTGAGCGGCGTGAGACTTGAAACTTGAAAGAAATACTCCTGTCGAGTGCGGTCGCACAATTGTGCGGACAGTGCGGACCTGTCGAAACTGATGTGAGGCTGTGTTTAGTTGGAGGAAAAGTTGGAATTTGGGTACTGTACCACTTTCGTTTTTATTTGGCAAATAATGTTCAATCATGGACTAATTAGGCTCAAAACGTTCGTCTCGCGATTTCCAACCAAACTGTACAATTAGTTTTTTTTCGTCTACATTTAATGCTTCATACACGTATCGCAAGATTCGATGTGATAGGTACTGTAACACTTTTTTGGAACTTTTTTTGCAACTAAACACGCACTGAGATGGCGTTGGCCAGCACGAGCTTCCTGAGCAGGCAACTGCAGGAGTCGGTAGGTCCGGGCGGTGCGTACGCCGGCCAGGGACAGGGAGCCGTGGCATTAACTTTTTGTTGGAAGCGAATCCGCTGTCTTGCACACGCTTTTCTTTAATCTTCTCCACCGGCCGCTGATCATCGTCATCGTGCGGAGCACTACTAGCTCCACTCGCTGAAGAGGCGAAACCAGGTCAACAGATTGTTCTCACCACTTGCACGTACATGACGTTCGTGGCAAATGCAGCGAGGGAGCCTAGGGTGATGTGATCTTCCACCACTTGGCCTTTTGGCCGGCCAGCAGCCGCAGGCCGAAGCCGCTCGGCAGATTCAGTATTTGCTTCGCGCCGGCATGGACGACGACGCTTGGCAACGTGTGGGGGAACCACGGCGGTTGCGAGACGTATACCGCGTGCGCGGCGGCGTCGGCGAATGCGCTGCTGCCGCTGCATGCCACTGCCGGTGCGCGCCGCCCGCGTCCTAGTACTTTGACCTGGGCCACCGTCTCACCTTCTCCCTTGGTGCTTCGGTTGGGCCGCTGCCAACATTTGTTGCACTTGCTTGGCACCGCCGGTTTGCGACTGGACACGCACTGGACCGACAATGACCACGACTCTGTGTTAGGAGGTCCTGAGGAAACACTGAAACTGTTGGAGCCAAGCTACACGTCTCGTTGTAGGCTCACGAGTAGGGGATCATGTATCAGTGACATCATGTACTGAGAAATCTTGAAATCTAACGAGTGCCTAATCCGAATAAACAAGTCTTTTTATGCGCAAAAAAAAAGAATAAACAAGTTTTTTTTTGTCCTGACTTTTTTTTTGGAATCTGTCAAAACGAGAAGGAATTAGGAATAATGCCCAATCTGAAAAAATAAATCTTGTCGGTCCTGACATCATGTACTCACAAATCCTGAGATTTAGTGAGTACCCAACCTGAACAAACAAGGTCTCTCGGTCGGAGTAGGAATAAAGCACTAAAATATAGCTTGGCTAGATCATGTAAGCTAAATAACACATTACATCTTTTAATCTCAAAGGGAGGGGTTATCTTATCCACACCACATAGACTCCACTTCAAATCACAGTATATTTCACTTGTCACTGAGGTAACGAAAAGTACAATTGGCATTCGTGTCCAAGTCGCCAAGCAATTTGGTCTGGAGGACCGGAGGACCGGAGTCAGCCTGGGAACATAGCCATCACCTGCTCTTTCGTTCTCTTTTTACAAGTGAGTGCAAGAAAGAACATTCCAAGCCCCTTCCACACCAGCCGCCTGCCCGCCTCCACCCTTGACCTCTTCCACACACTTCACAGTCTCCTTACTGTAGCTCAGTAGCTCCCATCGCTCCTCCATATATACGACCCCTCGCAGCTCAGAATCACGACCACGCTAGCATACAAGCCAAACTTTTTCTCTTGAGCTCTGGACTCCCGAGATCTTCCATTGCCGCGTTCACAGCTAGCTCTGTCCATCGACTCCGATATAATTCCCACACGTCACCAGTGAAATAATGGCTTCTCGCAGCGCCTACGTGCCCGTGTGCCTTGCTCTGCTCTTGCTCGCCAGCCTACGACCGTCCAGCGCTCGGCTGCTCCGATCGATGGGGAGCGACGGCGCAATCGATGTGGCTAGGGAGGTGAAGGACGCCGTCGTCGACAAGTACGCGCCGCTCCTCCTTGCCATGCTTCCAAGGGGGCCGGCGCCACCGTCCGCGCCGAGCGGTGGCACCAATGATGCCCCTCGGAATTAAAGAACCGCCGCCGGAGTAGTAGCACACAAGGGCCGGCCACAGAGTAGTAGGACACAATAGTTGGTGGTCTGTTTATTAGTTAGTTAAAGTCTAATAGCTTAATTCTTTTTGTTTGTCCTGTTTATTTTTAAAATCTTTGAGAGAGTTATTAGTTCATATATGTGCAACCCATATGTATAAATAGAGGAGTTTTCTTATATAAGAAAGATTTTATTAATTCACGAAGGAACACGAACGACGACAATATGAGAATAGATGGGAGCCAATTAATTAAAATTATTTCGCCTGAACTTGGCATATGTCCCAACCCTCGTCCAAAGCACTTTTGCTCAATCCTACTAGGACACACAAGTCAAACACATAACAGGATGAACCTAGAGAATACCAGCATATTATCAGAGAAACGTCCGAAGCAAAACAAGAGAAGATCAAGCAGCTGTCAAGGAGAATCCTAGACCGCGGAAGTTCCACATATTGGCGCAGAAGTTCCACGACGCGGATGCTTTGTCCAAGACTGCGGAAGTTCCGCGCTATGTCTGAATCAAGACAGAGAAACTTTGAAGCTGATCGAATCAAGTCCAACCAGCACCAAAAAACACACACATCTCTACTAAGATACTTCGAACTTATCCTCGAAATATCTCCACAAAAAGCCCAAAGCTTGAACAAGAAAATTGACTGAATTCGCCTCAAATTGGGGTTGTCAAAATATTCTAGAGAGAGGGGTTTTGGAGGTGCTCATCAGGATTCAATAGAAACAAGTCCTAAGCATCCCATGAGTCACAGCAACCAAGAAACAACCAAGATGAGTACAAAAACCTCAGCTCAAAGTTTTCTTAAGAAATCCACCAAAAGAGCGATAATGAGAGAGTTTAGTGGCTTGGAATCAAAGAGCTTTCAAGATGGGCTTCAATATATGGTTTGGATATGTTCCATGGATCCCAAAGACTCCAAAACGTGCCAAGCAATAAGCCAAACCAGCAGCACGAAAATCTACAAAAAAAAATCACCACAAAAATCACCAAGAAAGAGAAAATTGGAGGAGGGAAAGGATGAATATTTCAGCAAACCCTTTGATTAATCAACCATGAATTCACCTATACAAGACCAAGTCTAGCCTCCTCCCTTCATCCTCCCTCTAAAGATGGAATCTCTCTACTTCTAATATCCCTAAGTAAGAAGACTTGGCTAGCCTAAGCAAAAATGAGATTGGGGTCAAGAGATACCTCTGCACCAGCTATCTACCTTATGAATAGGCGTCTGGACATACCCCAAACTGCCCCTAGTCTAATACTAAGACTACCAACCCACATAGGTGCAATATGATCCATATTATATAAAAGCACACATGATACACATCCCATGGCCACGATTGCTCCCCCTTTGCTTAGCCTCAACGCTAACTCGGAGACGTAGCCATGTGCCGCCCGGAATCCTCCCTCAGGTTTTGAGAAACAAACTTGGAAAACTTGTTGCTTGCGCTTTTTAGGGCGAAACTGCCAAACCCATTTGGAGTCATATAGCCGCTACGCCTTCTCCCCAATGTCAATGCATGTTCCGCTCATCCTCGAGTGACCGATGATGAAGTCCTCACGTGCCAGCCTTACTTGGTCTAATCACCATCTTGACTTCGATCAACACCGCCTTCATCACCATCCTCTCATGTACACTTGATTGTCAGTGTCCAGGTGCTAGTGATAAGGACATGCAACATTCTGATATGACCATTGATTATAAGATGAACTCGTACCTATGTTTGCATAATGATAAAACTAAGAATTAATTGCCACATAATATTGGTATTTCAAATGTGCTTAGGGACAACGATGATGATGATGATGATGGAGCATGGATATGCCATGAATAAAACCGATCTCAAAGTGCAAGACCATCAAAGTTTAACTTTTGGTTCACCGGCATCACTACACTACTTCATTCTGAAGACCATAACTCTTTCATATGGAGTGTGATTGAGGCAAATGAGTACATGATGGAAAGTGTCACAACCCAAAGATCGTTCCCAATTAAACCTCTTCGAACTCACCCTTGATACCCTGAGACCTTCACCAACCCCTCACTGGACCTTGACTCGAGCCCTTGAAGCACCTTGTCATGACCCAATAGTCATTTCAGATTAAACCTTTTCAAACTCACCCTTGATACCCTGAGACCCTCACCAACCCCTCCCTGGATCTTGACTCAGCCCCTTGAAGCACCTTATCTCAAGTTGTTTGATGACCTTGAATAGTCCTTCTTTCCTAAACAATAGTCTTACCACCTTCCAGTAGGACCGATATCGCTCTCTACTAAGACAAGGACTCTAAATTCGCTATCCAACCCTATCGGTTCCCTCTAATCTTCCTAAGCCAACTAGGGTTAGCCCTAGTCAACCCTTCAATTGACTTGGTGATAACTCTCCAAGGTATCACTCAAGAGGTGCTCTCCAACTCTTCGATAACTTATATCAACTCTTTGATTGAATATGGAGGCCGCTAGATCAACCCTTCTCTCTAAATCAAATATCCCAAAATTAGTGGTCCCTCGAACTGTCCGATGATCAGATGGACCATCCACCAAATCATTTAGGTAGCAAATTTAGTTTGGATGAGCTATCCCCCTCTCTCTTCCATTGGACCCACATGTCAGCATGAAAGGGAGACTAAAGCCAACTGAATCAGCCCTCTCTCACTCACTTCCCTCACACTCCACTCTCCATCACTCTCCATTGTGAAGAAGACAAGAACTAGAGAGGGAGAGGAAAGGAAAAAGAGAAGGAAGATAAAGAAAATAAAAAAGAAGAAGATCAAAGAGTGCTCATGCATCATGAACTCAAGGTGTAGGTGGAGATCGTCACCTCCATCTCTATCCTCGGGTGAGCTCAAGAAATCCCCTTTTTATTTTCTTGAAATCATCTCTCAAACCCTAACTCTTGATTTCACCATGCATGGATGCAAGATGAAGGTTTCTAGTTGCTCAATCATCTGAAGTGTAACCTCAAAGTCGTCTCTTGCTCAAAATTCCTATGCATCTATCCAATTTCTCTCTAGTGGAATTTCTATGGTTTTTGAAAGAAAATCATGAGAAGCCCCAATCCATCTCTTTCAATTCACATGGAAGCAAAGAAGAACAAGGCTCAACCATGACCTTTGTGGCCCAAAGGTCAACCAAATCTTAGAGATAAGTTGCTTGCCTAAGTTTGCGGATTTCTCCCACTTTTTCATGGTTGAATTAATCTCTAATCCCTAGCATCACCTTGCAGTTAGAAGCTAAAACCCTAGCTTTCACATGTCCAACACATTACCTAAACATCCCTAGAGACTCCCTGCACATGCATGGTAAACATCATCCATAAACCAAGTCCCAAGAACCATGAACATCCCTAGAGACCCCTTGCATGGTAAACATCATTGACAAGCCAAGTCACAAGAATCATGAACACATTACTTAAACATCCCTAGAGACCCCCCATGGACCAACTGGCAGAACCCAAACCGTCCATGAGAACACGCACAGACCACAACACAGACAACACTTAGTCTCTATGGTCGATGTTCTCGTGGACCATCCATGATAACACTAGCTGACAGGTTATAATTCAATAATGTTTAACTTTCCAACTTGAGAGCACCCCTCTCATATCTTGCATCCGCAGACCGATCGGTGTTGACGGTCGTTAACATCAATCATAAACCATCAATATAACTTGCATATATACTTAATTTCATCACCAAACATAGGCCTAGGGGTTTAAACTAATAAATTCCATGAGTTTTGGTGAATCTATGTTTTCAGCAGGGTTCATTCAGAAAACCGTCAAGATGGACCTATTCGTCAAAGTAAATTGCGCTTAACCACGGTGTAAACAACTCCAAAAGGTTCTAGAGGACACCACATCGAAGAAAACCACAAGGGGATTACAAGTGGGGATGGTCGGCCCCACCTGCAGACCGGCTGGTCTATGGGCCCCACGGTTCAGTGTCTCCTTAAAGATTGCATCTACGCCGTTTATTCAAGTCAGTTTGATCCGAGGGTCCTGAATTGACGCTCCCTCTATATATACTGCCCTGCACCCCCTCCCTGAGACCATCTTGAAACCCTAATTCATATCCTCATCTCAGGATTAGGGCATCACATTCAAGAGATTAGTCCTCTAGTTAGGATCTATTCTTTGTATACAATAGAGAGAGTAAGGGAAAAGTTTGGGGGAAGTACCGGCTTGTCGGTGCTACCTCTATGGCTTGTACTTTGATGAATCTAGGCTTCTCCATGTCTACATCTGAGATACCCCTGGTAATTGATTTTTGTTTAAAGTAAGTTTTGTGCTCTTTTGTTCACAGGTTCACAGTTCTTTTGAGTGCTCTAGTCCTTGTTAGATCTCTGGATTAGACTAGTAATTGTTAGCATAAGCATGGTACTTAGGCTATCGGCTACCTATGTTTGCTCCCTACTTCTTAGTTGTGTGGTAGCAGTAGGAGGTGATAGCCCCGTCTATCCTTTGTAGCCCACGTTGAATTGAGCAGGTTCTTAAATTAGTAGGACCGTAGTCATGTCGGTAGAGTTATCTATTAGCGGTGCTTTATCATCTAAGCGGCATCCTGAAGTGAACACTAGAATCATAAGCCTTGCTTTGCATAGGGTCATAACTATTGGAATCCTCTCTACCCATACCTTAAACCTTGATTGCTATCCCTGGACAAACTAGTTGTTAGACAACACACACGTTTCCCCATGGATATGATACTTGATAATACTCTAGGAGAAAACTACTTCAGTACCCGTGCCCTTGCGAATTTTGTCTCTGTGTGCCTCTACAGGTGTCAACAACTTTTTTGGCACCATTGTTGAGGAAATAGTTGTTGTGATTTCATCGAACCAGGTTTGTCCTTATATCTTTTATCTTTAAGCATGGATAACATCACGCCTATTAATCAATTCGCTGCTCCCATGGACGCACAACTAGAGCCACCAAAATCTTCAAAACCTATCCCTACACGTAGATA